CCATGAAAGTTTAACTTTTTCAAACTAAAAAGGAGATATTCGGAATCAGCACAATTTTTTCTATCAGAGTATGCGTATTTTGGCCAAAAACGAGAACCCGTGATAAGTTTGAGTTACGCGCGCCTTAAATAATATGTATTTATTTTGTCTTTCTTTTTCGTTGTGTCATAAAAGTAAATGACGAGTAGCTCTATCGCTGAGTGTTCAATATCTTTTACATATTAAAATGAATTTCCTGGAAGTAGGAGTTTACGATATTCTAGCACCAAACACCCTTTACTGATGCTTCCTAAGACCTGTACGGCTATGCAGTCTATTTTGCGATCTGCATGTGTACACCGGATGACTATTACGTAGAACGAAATCTGAGTTTCTAGTAATGCGAAACTTCTGATTAGCTTACAATTCTGAAAATTCCAATATTCCGTAACTTCCAAAATTCTATAAAGTCTAAAGATGGTTTTTCCTGCGAATAGAAGAAAATATTTATCTTATGCTGTTTTGAAAATTCCAAAAATTCATTGCTCGGATGAGAATTCCAGAATCTTGGAATGGAGCCACGTCTCATTACATAAATTGAATCCTCTGTCCTAGTCGATTTGCTCTGACGTATGGTAAACATTTAACCTATAAATTACAATGAAAAATAATACCTATCTTACTTTTGAAGTACTCATTGGAATGTTTGCCCTTTTTCTCTCATCGACTCTATTGAAATACAAAAAGCTGTTCTATCCTTGTTTATTTTTCTTCGGCAGTGTTGCTAGTATTTACATCATCATTTGCTACGATTTAATGGTGAGCTATTCCATTCCTACCAAGTGAAAGAAACTATAAGGATAATGAAACATCGCATACTGTATTAGAATGAGGTTTTCCGAAAATATTTTGATAGATCATTATTTCATTGCAAATAGTTTGTCGATTAGAAATGACGTATTTTTACATTGATCTGGCCCTCAAGCTTAATACTTTCAAATCGGAAGGAAAATAGGCTTCTTTCAATTGTTATCAATAGATGAGAGAAGCGTTTATCTTCAAGACGCAAGTCTCAAAGGGGAAAAGAAGGAAAGAAAAATAAATATTACTGCAATTATTCACCTAGTCTTCTTCTTCTATCGAATCGCTTCGCTCTGATAGTATTAATGTACCCGCATAAGGAAGAAAATTCAATGAGAAGAATGTCAGACCATCGTGTTTGAGCGACATATGACGTCTTTTGTGTCTCCATAGCTACTTCCAAACGATTTCATAAATACTCTATCTTTAATCATTCTCCTGGACGACTAGGCTATTTTTCATGTTGTTTGTCATCGAGTGATTAGTATAGAATCACAACGCAATCAGACCGTTATTGATTAAGTAAGATTGAATATTCTGTCAATACAGCGATTTTGAATTGTGCGCACAGCCATTGTTTCCTATATTATCGATCAGATGACTTTTTATATTAGTAGCTTTCGTTCTGAAATGAAATCAAACGGTCAATAACTTACTACGAAATAAACAGAGTCAACACGTTTTTCCTAATATGTGTTATAATCTGCAGATGTTACACTCGAATTTTTCACTGAGTCAGTCTCGTGTTCGTGAGGTGAATCGACGAAGAAATTTATTTATTTAATTTGTTTTCATTTTATACTTGAACACTGATAAAGAAAATCAAGTTTCTCAATTATGATTAGAGCAGGTATATCGTGTTTCATATTGTAATTCCGCTGGGATAATGCTAATAGTTCTTCCATTATACTTTGTTATTGATCGTTCAGATTTGTTATCGTTATTTTCCAAATATCAATTGATTGTTTATTATAATACAAAAAAAGATCTCAAGTGAAAACTAGTTATTCATTCATCGAAAAAAAACCAATAATCCATTTATTTGAATTGAATAATGAATCAAGAAACACAATCACATAATCGTCGTCGCTCAATTATTCGTGAATTCTGTTTAAATACATCCACTCATGCTTTACCCGGTATAGCTCGTGCTGAAAGTAAACATAATCGTATTTTTTGGTCGATTTCATTTATTTGTTTAATGGGAATAATGATCTATTTTATTGTTGAAGCAATTATTGCCTATTTTCAATATCCAACTAATATGGATTTAAGTTATAATGATGATAAACAACAATATTTTCCAGCATTTAGTTTTTGTAATTTATCACCATTACGTTTTGATCAATTTATAAAACCTTTTCTAAATTATACAAATACATTGAACTTAACCAATATAAATGATACAACAACATTTGTTCCATATCAAGCCAGTTTAATTTGGAATTTCTTAATTGATACAATTAATAGAAATGAATCTTTGATACCATTTGGTTTCTCACTTTCTTCTATGTTAATGGAATGTTCATTTAATTATAAACCATGCTTAGAAGAAGATTTCATTTCGTTTACGTCTCCAAACTATGGTCGATGCTATACATTCAATGCAAAATTAAAAAATAGTACGGATGACAATGTACGTTATACTAATCAATATGGTCAATATGGTGTACTTAGTTTAGTTCTTTATGTACACAGTCATCAATATATACCTTATACGACAGATTGTAAGTAGCAAAAAAGAAATTGATTAAATGATGGCTCTTTTTCGGTCTTGTTTAGCCGCTGGTGTAGTAGTTATTATTCATGATAATACACAATTACCGATGATTGAAACGTCTGGTATTGAGTTAGCACCAGGAAAAAGACATCGATTAAACTATAGGAAAAAGAAATCAAATTTTTTGTCTTCTCCATATTCAACTTGCGCAAATCAACCTTCATCCGTCATGATGGATATGTTTGAAAATTATAATGATGCTGACTATGGCTATTCACGCATGATCTGTACTGGACTTTGTCGACAAGTATATTAGTAAGTGTATATGATTTCTAAGTCAACTGATATAAATATTACTATGAAAAATACAATTGTTTTAGTTATGAAAAATGTGGCTGCATCTTTCCGTTCTATTGGAATTATCGTTCCATTAGATTGCCGGGAACGAACAGGATTATTCGTGCTCCACTTTGTAGAACAACTGATAGATGTTACTTGGATGCTGCTGAATCTCTCACACAGACTCCGTCACTCTTAGATAAGTATTGTTCTGATTGCTCAGAAGAATGTTCATTAACAAGTTTTATTGTTCAAGTATCATCTTCAGAAGGACCTCTCGACTGGATGATGGCTGATATTAAAGCATTTGTTGAAGACTCCTCAGTTCCATTACCGGCGAATTGGTCAACTACATGGCGTCAAGATATTAAGCAGAATTATCTTGTTGTGAATGTTCTTACTGAAACAACTATTGTCGAGATTAACACTCAATCAGCAGCAATCAGTCCCATTGATGTTTTTTCGAACATCGGAGGTCAAACTGGACTATGGCTCGGTCTTAGTTTTCTTTCACTAATGGAATTTATCGAAATGATCTATCGATTGATTCGATATCAAGTTTATTTGATGATACGATAATTTATTTTTAACAAAAGAACACACAGGAACATTATGATTTTATGTTTCAAGTTGTTCTGCTTTTGTTTTTTTTTTGAATGGATAAAGAAATAATTGATTCCATTGCATATTACTTCAGACTATCGATTTTTCTCTCGCATCGTTTAGAAAGTTGACATTTTAAGGATAAATTCCGAGCGTGTTTTGCAATCGGACGGCACAAACAAAAAATTTTCTCAAGTTCGTTTTCTAAATTCATTAAAGTGGATTTAAAAAAAAACACCAACAAGAGGATATGAGCACGACACTCTTCGATTTTGTAAAATTGACAATTCGTGTTCTAAGATTGTAAAGTAGTATCTATTTGGTATAGTCATATTTTCTGAACTGCTGCCTAGAGTTGATAGGAACAGAAGTAATTCATTTTGTCTGTGTGTCTGTCTGCAACATAATTAAAAATAAGCAACGTTTATGTGACCTTATATATTGCTTTTTCCGGTGGATTTCAGGACTTTTTTATTTTTTGTTTTTTCTTATATCTGTTTTTGGATTTGTCAAGTTTTCTTGATTTTGTTTATTTTTTATAATCATATTTTTTTTGTCTTTGGTTTTTCGTTCTTGTTTTTGGTTGTTACGAGTGTTAAGTCCTGTGACCTTTTCTTTCTCTCTGCTTGGTTATTTTGTTCAGTTCGTGTTCAACAAAATATAGAGAACTTTGAGTAGAATTTATTAGTAGTATTCGGCTTTTTAAATAGACATTTTCCATTTCTCTGTAACATTAAATTACTGACTACTGCAAAAAAATCGACTGCTTTGTAATTAGTTCACTTGAATCAAGCAATTGTTTTTTCTTTAACCCTTAAGAGCCGAATGTCCCTTCCAAGGGACATTGCAATTAGCTCAACAAAACACTTAACAGAGGTTTGTATAGACCGCTGAACGTTTTCTGGGAGTGAGAAGACCTGAAAGATCAGGAAAAGATAAAAAGATTACTCTTGGGTAGCTGAGGGATGGAGCAATGATAGATTTAACAGTGTGTCACGCTTTAGATGGCTTTTTTTCTCTTCAGGTTTGTCAATAAAGGGTGAAATCTTGTTTTTTTGTTGGATTACGTGAGATTTGTCAGAGGGTTATTGGGCGAAGTCATTCATCGATCTTCAAACCTATAAATTGGTCCACTATGGCATCATATAGAAAATGTCCCTTGGAAGGGACATTCGGTCTTAGCGGTCCGAAATATTCTAAAATCGGATTTTTGAGATGGCGAGCTCAATCCTTGAGGCGCGCTTGAAAAACCGCAGGGCACATTTTCATATCTAGCCGAAAAACCTTGAGAAAGCGTTTTCTAGAATCAGTTTTTGGCGTAGAATCCGAAAATATCTTCAAAAAAGTTTTTGGTCGCAGTGCAAGAAAACAGGAGCACGTTTTCAGAAAATGAGCGGATTTTGAGGTTTTCGGCCCGACCTCAGTATTTTGAGTTTTTCTCCATGAAAGTTTAACTTTTTCAAACTAAAAAGGAGATATTCGGAATCAGCACAATTTTTTCTATCAGAGTATGCGTATTTTGGCCAAAAACGAGAACCCGTGATAAGTTTGAGTTACGCGCGCCTTATTTAACTTACAGATATATGTCTCAATAGAATACTTTCTATATAAAAAATATTTTAATATATATATATATATATATATACTTATACGAAAAACATTGACATAATATAAATTATATATGTTTATATATAATACATGCATACAAGAAAAAAATTTACATAAAATAAACTGTGTGAATATTTAAAAACCGTTTTTATTTCTGCGAACTTTTTCATATGAAAAAAATTTCGTTGATATTTTTTCATAAAACTGTATTCTTTCCAATTTTAAATACTACCGATGTTTCAGAATTTCTTACTTCCTTACCATAGTTTAGTATGGTGGTTTAGTATTACCATAGTTTAGTATACTTATGAATTCAAGATCCATATATACTTTCTGTTTCATTCAACAACTATTGTGGTCACATGTGACTACACACCTTCTTAATCGCTAGTTTGTTTATTCTAATCTCATTTCTATCATTTCAGATATATCAACATTTCAACATTCCGTTCACCTATAGTGAGATAAAGACCATGGTTAGAGGATATCAATGGTGACTCAGATCAAACCTGAGACGAATTATAATATTTTTTCGAAAATTTCAAATATCAAGTCAAACGCGATTTCATTTCGAACCGTGTCTAGACGCAGAAAATGTTTCACTGGAGACGCATTTAAAGCATTCAATTGCTGGGATTTAGACGCAAATGAAACGCGGTTCAGACGCGTTTTGATACAAAAAATATCCACATAGGTTATAACGAGTTTCAATTCGTATCAATATGACATTCATTCCACTAGACACACCAAAATGCATCGATCGACTAGCTTTAGCGTACTCACAGACATGAATGAGAATGTTGGGTATCATCCACGTAGTAGGTTACAGAGATGGACGGGGCGGTGACGGTGCGTTGCAATATCTCGCGGTTTCCCCGCCTCTTAACAATATTGAATTTTTTTAACATTTTTTTCTTAAATGTTTGTTTTTAGATATCGAAATTTTATCTTTGTATATAGGGTAGCCTATAAATAATAACACGCCGATAAGAAATTTAAATATCTCCACTTTCGTTCATTCAAATGGGCTAATTTTTTGGTTGGTAGTAAAACTCTACTCGAAATTTTTTTCCATTCCAACAATGTAAGTAAATACTACTGTTAAGTATTTCAGTTGACCACACGAAAATAACTTTGCCAGTTGTTAAGTAAGAAAAATACATATGAAATATTGTGTAGATGATTTTCAGTTGTCATTTGACAGAATAACATGAAAAAATCCGAATAAATCTTCTGAATGATACTACTTGGGGCAATCCAAAAGTAGTGGCGACCGCATCTATATTTCGTATAGAAGGTTTGAGGAAACTTTCTCTACATATAGTCTAATAGGTAAAAGAATACTCTATTTTTCTATGCTGTTTGATCATGTTTCAACTAATATTATAATAATAAAATTTCGATAAGACCTGTTTTTCCACCATATAGGCCGGTAATATGGTTATACTAAGTAGTGGATATTATTTTGTTTTGGTGTTTTTTTTGACAAGATACCATTTTTCCACACTTTGAATTTTGATTACATAAACTTCAAACAACATACTAGGGAAATGTATTAATATAGGACTCGATGTATCTTCAGCTCCTCTTTCGAACGATGAAAACTGCAGCTCACTATTTTGGTTCTATCAATAGTTATTCAAAAAATACTCACTAAATAGACGCTAGTATAATCGTGCTACCGTGTCATATGATAGAAAAACAGATTTTATCGAAATTTTATTATTCTGATATTAGTTAAAGTATGATCAAATAGCTTAGAAAAAGGGAGCATTCTTTTCTCTATCAGACTATATAGAGAGAAAGTTTCCGCAAACCTTCTATACGAAATTGAGATGCGGCCTCCACTACTTTTGAATTGCGCTAAGTAATAGTAATCATGAAAAGTACTAGAAACTGTATGAATAAATGGCCATTGAAAACATATTTTGGCCGGGGCGGGACGGGGCAGTCGCGGCGTGACTTTTGGTCGCCCCGTCCATCTCTAGTAGGCTATCACGTTTTATCGGTTTTTTGGACTTATCTCCATGTCATTATTTTCCACCAAGGCACTTGTTCTCGTATCACTCTCTATTTCTGCTATTAGTAGTCAGAAACGAGCCTAGTAACAGTTTCTGTTGGTTTGTTGACTAACTAAGAAATGCAGAATGATGTAATGGTTCAAGGTATGAAGAGAATTGCAAGTGAAGAATATCTATTACAAGCTTTTCATCCATCAAAAATTGATTTTTCGTCAACACCTGAAGTTAATAATAATGATGGATATCGAGTGCAACAAAGACAACGAAAAAAGTTCAATGCCACAACAACGACTTCTAATGAGAAAATGAACAAAGTGCAGCCAGCTACCACGGTGCATTCGTACTTTCATAATAGTAACTCATTACAAAATCCACAAAAGTTGTACAGATCGTTCTGTCATTCATCGCACAATCAACATCCAACGGATCAATCATTTTCGTACAAACCATCAGCACATCATAGTCAACAAAATAAAACAAAAAATGCTGTAAGTTTCAGGTTTCCACCATTCAAAATACGATTCGACAATCAGTAAAAACCGAGCGAAATAAAAGTGCTGAATGAACTTGTAAAGTTTAATTCGAAATTAAATTTATCATTTGCACGTTACTCAAGTTTTACCCTAACATCGAATGTTCTATTAATATTCGCTAATGACACATATACATTCGAAGAACTACATAGTAATGAAAAATGGCCGAAAATGTTATGTGAAAAGAACTTCGAAATTGAAGTGCCAAAACGGGTACCAACATTTTATTCGATCATAATTCATGATGTAGCCAAACAATGGAATATTGATGAAATTCAACAAAGTATTGATGAAAGTTATCATTCCGTCGTGTATGTTCAACGAATATTCGATAAAACATGTGGTCATCCGAACGAATACGAGCTGATTTTCGTTCCTATGAACAAGTACAAAAAATTCTACAGGATCATCATATTTATTTCGGTTCTATTCGTTATCGTGCCAGCTCAACCTCTACTACACTCATCAAATGTTTTAAGTGCCAAGAATTTGGCCATCGATCAACCGAATGCAAAAACAAAAATAAATGTTTTAAATGTGGTGAGGAGCACGACTATAATCCTCAATGTGCAAAAGCAGTTTGTTGTTCAAATTGTAAAGCAAATCATATGGCCGGATCAGCGAAATGCCCATACAAAATCAATTACCGACAAAGTCTAATCCGAAAAATGAAAGAGGAAAAGTCCAAAACAACAACGGCACCATCAGTAATTCCACTAAATTTTCAGCGGGTTCACATCGCCCGCTAATCTATTCTCATCCACAATAACATCAATAGCTCCGATGAGAAATATGACAGTGACACATGCAAAATCATCAGCGAAAAATTCGGATTTTCAAAGCGATATGATCATAAATTCTATTGAAAAGCAATTCAAACCTCGCAACAAGTCGTATTAGATAAACTCACTCAATTAGAAATGAGATATGAAATTACTACAAATCGATGTTCCGCTATTGAACAACAATCAGAAACAAATGTATTACCACAAATGACAGTTTTGACGGGATTAATATCATCGATTTGCCAGAAATTGAAACAAGCAAATATTAATGTCGACGACGAGCAGTTGGCATTAGAACAACTTCGCCAGTTGGATTATCTCTATCAACACCAACATCAGGATCAACAGAATCCTATTCAACAAGTAATAGATGCGAATATTGCTAAAGAAAAAATGGATTTAGGCGACTAAATACCAGTCCAGTACCGCTACACTAAACGCTCTTCTCAGTGACTGGCATAAACATAATATAACTGTTCGAACAGCTGTTAACAGTCATTTTGGAATAATGTTATTCAATGTTGGAAGCCTCATGCTACATTTTTGTGATGTTCTACACTATGTTAACACCAAAAACCCGACTGTATTTGCTTTAAACGGTATTCGGACTCATGATGAAACAAGTTATAGCTTAGCATCGGACCTTAAATCGAGCTATACAGTATATTTTCAACAGGGAACGAACGAGTTTGGAGGCGTAGCCTTAGCGGTACGTAAGGACGTAAATCACACGGTTGTTAAACAATTCAATAAGACTCTAAATTTGATTACGCCCGATATTTATATATTCCCTTGACTGTAAAGGAAAGGGTCTTATCGAGTTAAAATGCCTGTATGTATGTTTGTATGTTTGTACGTTTGTATGTCCGCAGACTAGATACTAGCGACGGACAAACTAGTACAGCAAAAGTTGATTGGCTGATAATGATATGGAGTAGGTAGTTCACTATGGAGAATCAGAAAATGAGTATGAGCGACCTCTACGGTGATTCCTATTGGTGGAAAACATCATTTGCAGATGAATGGACGAAAATAATATGAAGTGGCTAGTCGACTATGAATAATCGGAAAATGAGCATGAGCGACCTCTACGTTCATTCCTATTGGTCCAAAACATCATTTCCGCATTAATGGATGAAAATGATATGGAGTGGCTAGCCGACTATGAATAATCGGAAAATGAGCATGCGCGACCTCTACGGTGATTCCTATTGGTCGAAAACATCATTTGCAGATGAATGGATGAAAATAATATGGAGTAGGTAGTTCACTATGGGGAATCAGAAAATGAGCATGCGCGACCTCTACGGTGATTCCTGTTGGTCGAAAACATCATTTCTACATGAGTGGATGAAAATGATATGGAGTGGCTGCTCGACTATGAATAATCGGAAAATGAGCATGCGCTACCTCTACGGTCATCCCTATCGGTCGAAAACATCATTTCTACATGAGTGGATCAAGATGATATGGAGTAGGTAGTTCACTAGGGGGAATCAGAAAATGACTATGAGCGACCTCTACGGTCATTCCTGTTGGTCGAAAACATCATTTCCGCATTAATGGATGAAAATGATATGGAGTGGCTAGTCGACTATGGAGAATCGAAAAATGAGCATGCGCGACCTTTACGGTCATTCCTATTGGTGGAAAACATCATTTGCAGATGAATGGATGAAAATGATATGGAGTGGCTAGTCGACTATGGATAATCGGAATATGAGTATGAGCGACCTCTGCGGTGATTCCTGTTGGTCGAAAACAGCATTTCTATATGATTGGATGAAAATGATATGGAGTGGCTAGTCGACTATGGATAATCGGAAAATGAGCATGCGCGACCTCTACGGTCATCCCTATTGGTGGAAAACATCATTTCCATTTGAATGGATGAAAATGATATGAAGTGGCTGGTCGACTACGGAGAATCAGAAAATGAGTATGAGCGACCTCTACGTTCATTCCTATTGGTGGAAAACACCATTTCTACATATTTTTGAAAACCTCGTTTATGGCTTATTTTGAAGCCCAGAAAATTATCTATGTTACTATGCATGAGCTTTGCTTAAACCTTTGAAATCGGACGAGAAATTTGAGGGAAAAAGATAAACGGTTTTTGTTGAACGGGTGGTGAAAAACGAAAAGTAAGGTTTGTCTGAAAGACACTAGAAGGAATTTTTGAAAGTGGGAATTGTTGGGAAGTGAAAAGGGAAACATTTCCAATCATTTTCAGGCAGGATAAATGTCACTCTACGTATTTTCTATTTTTCTCGTGTTTCTTTAGGATCCTAAGATTAGTACTCTTTTAAAAGATGCGCCACAAAATACTCTACAAAACCATACTTAAACTTTAATTTCAGAACTTCTATCAAGAAAACTACGTACTAAAAGTATACGAAAGACGAGAAAAATGAAAACTTTCTAAATTTGATATTTTTTTCGACTTGAACTTTTTGTTTTTTACTATTATTTCCATAAAAAAGGGTAGCAAAAGTGAGAACACAGGTCGCTTTGTACTTTTGAATATGCTCTTTCACGTGGTCTGTAAAAGGCAATTTTTAGAGCAGATGGCGTGCTGAAGAACCAGGTTACAAAAATATGTCAAAAATTGACAGCCCCGCCTTTCCAACAAAGGTGCGCAAGCAAGAGAGGAAGAAGACAATTGAAATTTT